GGTTAATGGTGCCATTTATCTCAGCCTTAAGTGGCTGATGTAACCTTTGGTTCTCCCTCATGAGGTGGAAGTCCTATAAATAGGACTTAGAGCTGCAAGTGAAAGACACAACATTTCATGCTCTCTGATTATTCTCAAAGCCTCACGCATCATATCATACTGCTCTGTTCTCGACTTCATTCCAGTTCGTCGGAGCTCGAATTCTGGTGTGCTACAGCGTTCGAGACGTAAGCCGTTGTATCTTTGGGGACGAGACGCCTGTACCCGTCAGCACTATACGGGGCGTTTTCGTCTTGCGGAAAGAGCAATCGCCTCGGCTATTTTCGATTTCTATTTTGTAATTTTTCGTTTCTGTTTTAGTTCAAATTGTAAGAACTGAACGCTTCAATCAGTTCATAGGTTCCCGTTGTAAGTTCAAAACACACTCTGGATAACAACATCAACACAAATTCCATACTTTACGGCTAATTTGTATTTAAAATTATACATATATTTATTTTTATTTCATGTTTTGTAATTTAGACGTTTCAACATTGGCATTAAAAACACAAATTTAGTATAATTTTTATTTTGCCTCGAATCAAACCAGGATGCTAATTTGTATTGCACGAGGGATAGTGTGGCTCTGTGGCCTCGTCTATGAAAAGAAGGGACAACCACACATCAATTGCCGCACACACAAACAAACAAAGGCCATCATTTTGTGTGTTATCTTCTAGGCACATACAACACCTATGTTGCTAATGGATATACTATATTCTTGTCTGTTTTATCCAACAAACAAAAAAATGACATTAAAAAAAAAGGTAATATCAACAGAAAACTGAGCCAGTTGAGATAAACGCACTTGCATCTTTTCAATTTATTAGCTTTCAACAGAAAACTTGGATGATGTATGACCCTTTTCTTTTTCAAATACACATCTCAGTAAATGACTGGCAACCAGCTAGAATGCGAATTATACAAAAAATCAACGAGACCCAAAGGTAAAATCAATCAGACATTGCACACAACACGAGCATAACTTGCGAGATTCGAACCAAACCACATTGCAACCACTACCAACACAACAACACTGCTGCTTCCTTTCCATAAACCCAACTTGCAAACGAAAGGAGTATCGTAAGCAAAACACCAGCCTCACCCCCCAGTACACATGCAAGTAGATGACCAACTTGTAACCCACATCCAACTTCCCATCAACCAAGGCCATTACGCCACTATACGCGAGAGAGAGTCCGATGCCCACTGTCCGCATTAGAAACAAAGTGATGAATGCTGAACTAAGCACCCCAACAAATGACCCTCTCTTCTTAACTGGGTTTTTTTTTTTTTTTTTTCATATGCTTTTCATCATCAGATGAAAATTGCTCTTCGCCAGCATGAATGCATGATATCGTCTCCAGTATCTTTCACGTCGCCTTTTACGTCTCAGATAAGCCCATCTGTGAAACCTTAACTCGTCCGCGTATTCTGAATTAGTTGTCCAGTCATCTCCCAGAGGTCTTGTCATCCTTTCTTGGTGGCGGAGAGCACTATCATATTCTGTTCTGGTTGTTTCATTGATCAAAATCTGTGTCATGAAAAAATTTAAAATTCTCCATTTTAAATCTGGGAATAAAGTAACACAAGTCAAATACTACAAAGTTCGGTGAAATCAATGTAATATTTTGGTTAAATGGGACATCTGGACCTGTAAAAATTTGTGTAACTATTCAATATCAAGCCAGAAGTGTTTTTTATATTTTTCTTCTTTTGGAATTCTGACTTGCAGAAATTAATCTTTGAAAAGGTCCCAAAAGTCTTCAAGGAAAAACATGAAAACTATCTCCTCGGGTCAAATCTTCACACATATCCCAAAATCATTCCTCTTATTACTCAGCCTACACGATTCATGAACCAAAATATAGCATTTACTCGACCGTGTAGTCTATCTGTACAATATAGCAGAACTTCAACATACAAGTGTAATGTGCAACCAATAAAATAATAAGTTCATTTTCACTTGTCATAACTAATGAAAGATGGCAAAGAATCACTCTATGTAGTTCATAAGAATTCAACAAGTAGGCAAAAATAGATACAAGAAAAGGAGCTCACATCATAAGCAAGCAGGATGCTCTTGAAATCCTCATTAGCTCCTATTTCTTTGTTAACATCCGGACAGTACTGCATGCAATACATCAAATTCAAGGGGTCTAAGTGATAAATAGATTTTCCATCCGGTAAGGACAACAAGAAGAGACTGACACTAAAGAGTTGTCCGAGTATTTTTATTTTTATTTTTATTTTTAATTATTATGCATTAAACAAAGGAAGTTTTGTTCAGGCTAATAGTTAAACCAGGAAAAGAAAAAAAAAAAGTTAAAAAAATTACTCTGCAGACTACAGCCTATACAAATTACAAACCAACCAAAGACCCCCAATACCCTATAGAAAGGATTGGGCGCTCTAGATTTCATTTTTTTTTTAATCAAAATAAAAAATTTACCAATTTTAATTTTCTCTATGATCGATCAGCTAATGTTGACTTTTGACAAATCCACCAGGAATTATACTAAGAATAGGGTATTGAGCGAAGACCCCCAGCCAGCGGCGTAGCCAGGAATTTTTTTAACCTGGGGCTGCATATTATTGTAGGCTGTAGCTATCATTGGAACCTTCTAGACATGGTCATGGGCCGACCCAGCCTGTCGGTTCGGCCCGAACCAACACAAACTGACCCGTTGACCATGGGTCTTGAACCGGCCCGTAGTTTTGACTAGTTCGATTCATGTACAATACCTTATAGTTTATACATTTTGAACATGCAGTTTAGGTTCTGAATTGGAACCGAAATCCGAGGTTCTGCTTTTTTTAAATAAAATATTATTTTAATTATTTTTTATTTTTTTAATGAACCGGCCACCGACAATTAAATGAACTGGCCCGTACATATGTTCGCGCCAGTTCATAGTCCTCCAACTCTGGCCCGGTATTGACGATATCGACCTGTAACTAGTTTTTGTATGATTAGGAACAAAATATCATTTAACATATGTCTGTTTGAATTGGGAAAACTCAATCTCAAATCGCTTTTATATATAAACAAGCCAAACTCAAATAGCTAATTGAACTTGTCGATCAAACAATTAGATTCAAACATGTTTGCAATCAACTCTGTACGAGATTTCTCTCTGTCTAGGAAATGATGCCGAGTTAATTATTGGAGGCGAAATCAACAAAAAAATAAATAAATGAAAATAGATAACGGACTGTGGACTGAGACGAACCCAATTGAATAGCCCGTTGGAGAAGTCTGTGTCAAGCTTAATTATCCAGCTCATTTGATAGTTATCAAGTCAACCGATTAAAAATTTAAAAGGCAATAATGTGTTGAGTCACATTATAAACTTAATTGATAAAATCTAATAAGGTCATAATTGTCATTTGAGAATAAAAGATTGTATTTTTTCCTCACTCCAATCATATTTTTTCACCATTGTTGTCAGATAAAAAAATTTAACCTCAAGATATTCTTGAGGCATTCAGCCCAAAATTACATGGGGCTACATAAAAAATTACATGGGGCTAATGGGCCTACGTATAATTTTTTTTAAAAAATAAGATTAGTAAAAATAAGGTTAGCAAAAAATTACATGGGGCTGGATCCCACTCTAGCCTTAGGGTGGCTCCGCCCCTGCTGGCCCCAGCTAGATCGAAGGCGATATAGTCGATACCTTGAGAGCGAGGAGGCGGTAAGCCCTCTTAATGTCTAAGGAGGAAGCGTCCGGTGAGATACCCAGTACGTCGTAGTGATTCCGGTGGCCGAAGCTGCCAATCCACGACAGGCAGGGAAAATGAGTAATCCATTTACAATAGCCACCACCATCAAATGGGGTAGGACCCAACATGAAGCGCCCATATCCCTGCATTTGCAGACCTCTCGCTCTCCTTGGTTTGCTTCCACTAGCCAGAGGAAGGGAATGTAAATGGAATATTATTGTGGCGTGTGCAGATAAAGGAGAATTCGCTAAAGAGCCCAATTAATATTCGGGCTGTTTGCTGAATTGGGATGTATATGGGCCTTATAATTGGGCTATACTACCTTTCTCCCTTACAGGCTACATCAGTACAATAAAATCGGAGGTATTGTAATAGCACAATGTTGAATTGACAAATCACAATGTGGTGTGAAGTGCGAGTGAAGGTCCTCTTTATTTCCTTCCATCTCGGTCGCTCCACTTCAATTTTGGCCCTTGTTCACAAATGACGTCCATGTTCAACATTACTATAAACTCTACAATACCCAACTCCAAATGCCTAATAAATCCTTCACCATCTCTTTAATAATCACATTCCCATCATTTCTATTTTCTAGTTTCCCAGATTCGAGTGCCAAGTTTTCCCAT